GGTTCCTGATACACACACAAACACACTATATTTGTATATGTATATACATATATAAGTTGTATACAAGTACAACATTTGACACAAATGTAAATTTCTGAATTTTTATGTCCCTGATTTATATTATCTTGTAATATTCCATGACTATTTGATATATTAAAAATCTGTCATGATATTTAGACTGTTAACACCATTAGAAAAGCAAACTTTTTTTGAGTTTTCTCATTACTTTCAGGGCTATCGGCCCTCATTTCACATCCTGTTTTGTGGAAAGAGAGGCCAGTTTCAACAGGTTTGGATTTCACATTTGGGAGAGAGAAGAATTAGTAGTTCAGAGACTGTTCAGATAAGCCTGACCTTAATTGACACAGTGGTATGTTAGTTTCTGCTCAGTGAAGGAGAAAAAGAGAGAAGCAATGTTGCATGTACTTAAAAATCATAAAAAATTCAGTTTAGAGTTTCTACAGATGACTTAAACCAAAAGACGTACAAATTTCTACAGTTACGTATATTTTGTCTCAGTGACCTCACATCAGATGTGAAAAGCAAGAAAATTGTTTTCTAGCTACCAGGATCCATAGCCTGAGGGCTATGCAGTTCATTCCTCATGCACCATTGCTGCTAATAAAGTGCCAATCTCCAAGTAATGTCCCGACGGCTACCTGTGCAATCCTGTCATGCCATAAGCATCGTCACTGCTGAGGGGGCAGACACCCCTAGTATGGGTTCTGCTTCTGAGCCCTGCAACTCCTGTTGCTTTCACGGCACTCAGATGGTCACGCTGGATGGCTCAGCAGTTGATTAAAAAGAACTTGGGTTTGTTGTTCTGACTTTCTGGATTAAATGGGATTTGCAATTGCTTAGCGACTGCATTTCCTTTCTGCTGCTCCAATAACTTTGACAGTTAGAAATTTAAGAATGATCTCTAGGTGTAAGCTTCTTACAGGTGCATGTGAGTTTTGGCAATGGCATATGAATTGTCTTTGTTCATCTAGGCTGGCACTCTGCCTCCAGTACTGGGAAAAAGGCGCAAGAAATATGACAGTTGCTAGTTTCAGAAAAACTCCCCCAAAGGAAATGTTCTTTCCTAATATCAGGTAATTAAAAATTCATGTCTGAGTGTTTATTTCCATTCTAATTCTTCTCCTGAGGTTCAAGAATGTTTTATTTCTTAGTAATGTAGTTCTTGATGTTGTTGTCATTGATGAAGTATTTGGTTCTTTTTGTATATAGCTATACTCTTGGTCCTAATTATGTCATGGAGCATTAGATGCTCATGGAAGAAACAGATAAACATACTCTAGGCAGCAGCGGCAGCGCATGCTCACCGTGCTATCCAGCCAACGTTCCTCAACTCTGACCTGAGGACCACCTCTGGAGGTAAGAGTCCCTTCTTATCAGTGAGCCCTCGCTTTCTCTGCCAAGACTGTTAGCAAAAAGGACATTCAGAGCCAACAGTATAGTTTTGTACAGCAGGGGCCTGTTCACCAGAAACTGTTCCGTGATCACTAAGATCATTTCATATACACCACCAGAAAATTTATATCGTAACATATTTATGCTCCCATTTCACCTAGGGCTTGAACCCTGAAGAACTGGCAAATTATCAATTCTGTAACTCATTTGTTTCCTCAAGACCTGGCGCTTATATAACTGTTTCTATCTGAAATGTATCACAAATCGCATGATTACACTTTGTAAACCAGTAGATGTTATTAACACTTTAAAGATGAAACCTTAGAACTGTTGAATATTTTCTAAAAATCAAACAACATTTGAAGTACTGTCTCTAGTTTTACCTACTCTTGATGTAGGTAGTCAAGTTATAAACTTAAAGATATTCTTCATGTGACTAATTATTTGCCCAAATCACAAATGGTTTTTTCCTTTACAGGTAGTTGGCATGGTAATTGCTGGGTTTCAGTTGTCAAAAATCACTACCATATAATCAGAGGGGTGGCTGAGAGACCAGTTGTCTTAAAAGTTTTGGTCCTGCAGACTTGCTCATCTGCTGTTCAGTAGCAACATAAAATAGCAACACAGGTTCTTATGGTGACAAATCATCCTGACTAATTCTGCAGACAGCTCTTTCCTTAATGTTCGTGAAAAGATTAAAAATTAATCGATAATTTCTCAATGAATCAGTCTGTACTTTCCAGTCATGTCTGCTATCATTTTCCTAGGATGACCTTAAAACATTTTATAATTTTATTTCATGTACCTGGCTGAGTATAAAACTACGCTCATGCATCATTTAACACTCCTCGACTGAGAAGGTCGATGTTTTGGCAGAGCTGGGTGTTAATGTCTTTATGGATGGAAAATTTTGGTTTTATATTATATCAGTAACTCTACAAGATGTGATACTGGGATTTAGGGCTCTAATCTCTTGGAAAACGATGGATGAGATCCAACTCCGTTCTTGTTAAGCTTTGAAAGAAAGGCTGACACTTGTGGCATATGCAAGTGCTGTTTAGTTGTTTGCTTGAAACTGAAAGTCTGAAGAACAAGAAAATCAACGTTTTTAGCCTGGCTCCAACATATGTATTTATAAAATATCCAGATTCTCTTTATATTTTATTTTTAAAGTAAAACTGAAATAAGCCTGAATTTTGAAATATCTTTCTCTTGGAATAGGATGTTATGGACTATTTCTTTTTCCTGTTGTGGAATATTTATTGTCTTACAGCCTGCATCTACAGTCTCACAACACAGAGAAAATAAATCCCGATGATGTTAAATGTTTGGAGCAAAACTCTGACATTTTCACTTTTGCAATGGGAACATGATGGCCTATTTTCTGTTTTCCCCAGAAACTTGTTGGAATTTACCTTGGAAATCATGTGAAAGCTTCAGGTTTATACTTCTCTATATGTGATCTGTCTGTGTATTTTACACAAAACATTCATCCTGATTTGCTTTGGCAATTATCTTTGCCTTTCTCCTCTTCTGCATAAATTAATGTTTCACTGTACAATAACTAGAGATTAGCTGATCAACACAGCAGCCACCTTTCCACCCTCTGCGGGCCAAAATCCTGTGGGATCTATTTTCAAGATACTACTACAAGGCAGAAGCGGGGCTGTAGCCTCCTTGTGCTGTGGGACAGGGAATTCCACAAAGCCTGAGGTCAGGCAGCTTTGCAGGATTCTTCTTAATGCTCCATGACACTTTGGATCCAAAAGCAGTAAATCCCAAGTTTCCCCCTCGTGGGCATTACAAATGATGTCTTAATTTACCAGCACTAAGAAAACACTTCTTATCTCTTTGTTTATAACAGATTTTTTTTTTTTATTTTATAACAGAAAAATACAAAAGCAAGTCCTACAAGCTTTCCATTTACATTTTTAAAACAAAATGAGCTGGCCTGAGTCTTTCTACAGCAGGCACTGTCAAGACAACTCCATCTTGAATACTTTCTGTTTTAAAAATATTCTGCCCAGAATATATGTTTTTAAATTTTGATTGGTCTTTTTAAAGTGATAGGCATCTGTTGTTGAATATGTTGAGATGAACAGGGAAAGTCTTTCCTGCTAATTACAGTGTTAGCACTTATGTCACATTGAAGATTTATCCCCTAACTTGGGAGGTAGGTAAATAAAGAGATAGATTCTCCTTCTGCTGCAAAGGGAAGGACAGAGGTGGAATAGGTAGACCGAGTCAGTGGTTCACAGTTTAAAGTTCTGTGCTCAGACCACTACATACCATTACATTTGCAGGTACTGGTTCATTCAGCCCTTCAGAAATCTAATCATTTTTTTTAGGATTTCCAGTGTCTAAGTTCACAGTAACATTAATTACCATGCAGAAGTCTGGCTATATCAAGACAATTAAGAGATATGAAGAGAATTGGTGGAAGAGTGATTCAGGGGTCATAGTCTAGTTCAGTATACAGCCAACCAGTGCTCAGTCTGATAATTGAAAACAAAATACAAAGCTTGAGAGGAGCCAAAAAATATCTTAATAAATAATTAGAGCTTGTATGTTTCAGAGAGCCGGGTTTTCTTGGCAACACCAGGCAGTAGTCATTTCTGAACAAACAAGATTGAAATTTATGTCTCAGTGAAGCAATACTGGAAGCCTGTTTGACGTGCTGCACAAAGACCATTTCCGACGCTCTCCGCCAGATGAATTTCCTCCGTGTGCCGGAGGTGGGCAGAAATGTGGTGCATTCGCAAGATGTGCCTCGGATGCAAGATCGGTCTGTGCTCCACAGACATCACTTGTATTGATGAGTCTGTGGGACACTGCCAGGGGACATCTGCTTTTTAACTAACGAGGAGCTGGCTCAGTTTTACGTGCACTCTGGTGTTCAGGGGTGCTGAGCTTCTGCACCCATTC